CCTAGGAATTCATTTGGAGGCACAGTGTATAAAGCTCAAATTTCATATGGTACAAGGATGATGTTAAAAGTTCATTAAATGGAACAAAATCCATAGTCAACTCTTCTAATAACACAATGACTAACATAGCACTTACTATGTTTTATGCTGTGTTCTAAGCAACATATGTCATGTACATTGGGTTGTATATACTTACCATTCACACAAAATGTTAGTGGAATACATGATGAACAAATACTGAGTATGTACTGTGTACCAAATACTGTGAGCAAAATGCTGTGAATAAATGGTAAGCAGAGAGGCCAGAGTTTCTACCTTCAGAGCCTGCAATGTAGAAAGAGAAGTGAAATTACTCGTATAATCCCCAATGAATGTGAATTACCCTGAGATGGAAGATGGGAGGGGATGGCCATAGTGTCACATGCCTGCCGGAGAGGGTTGCTTTTCTGGGAAAGTATGACTAAGGGCAAGGGATAGACAGGTGAAGCACCGAAGGGAAAAGCTCTGTGGTGGGAGGAAGTGAGGTGAGGCTGAGAAACAAAACTGAAAAGTCAGGGTGGGTGAGTATAAACAGCAAGTGGGAGACAGCTATTAGGTGGGCTTGTCTCCCAATTGCAACCCCATAAGGGGTTTTAGTCTTTATTGTGAGAACAGTAGAAAGAGATCAAAAGATTAACTAGGGAAGGTAACACCCCAGATTCTGCTGCCCTGGCTGCAATGTGAGTAACCAAAGGAAAGAGGCCAGTCAGGGTGGAGGAGACTACAATCCTTTAGACAGGGTCTCAAGGGAGCAAGTTGGAGAAGTCTGGGTTGGCAATAGGGAGAGTGGATGACTGTGCCAGCATGATTTACCTTTGTAAAGCATGGCTGTTTGTCTTCTCAGCCATGCTGTGGGCTGTCCCTCCAGGTACTAGCCAGCATCTGACAGGAAAAATCCGTATCCCAGACACACATGCATGGGACCTAGAGGCATTAACATGGAAAGACTGAGCACGTCTGGGATGCTACCCTGTTATAAATCATAGAAGGCCTCGGTGGACTGCAGCTTCCTTCTTGTTGCCATCTTATCCCTAGGCATCTTGAAAGCCCTCAGTTTGAATCTCATCTCTTGCTTCCTTTTTTCTCCCCACCACTCTCCGCCTTTTAACATCTCCTTTCTGAACTCTTCTTGGATTTTGCCAATCTCTGTTAGTTTAGGTTTTTCAAAGTCTGGGCTTAGGGTCTTCACTGCAGTTGGCTGTCCTGCTGTTCCCAGGTGTACCATTTTATGACCTCAGGTTTCCAACAGCTGGGCTCTCCACAGGAGAGGTTAACAGCACAGCATAGCTTCATTCATTTGCACAAAGTAGCACCAATAACAACAGACTTTAGAATTGTTTTTATAAGAATTGCTGAACAGAGAGGTTAGCTTACATAAATAGTCACTGAATTTAAATAGATAATTACCCTTACTGTTGAGAGAGCGGCTAATGTAATTTTGCTTTGTTTCTTTGTCTCTCAAATCTGTAATCTAAGCACCTAGAAAAGTACTTGGCACATAATAGTTGCTCAATTAATGTTCGTTGGGTTAATTGGAGAAAGAAAGAAGAACGGAAAGAAGGAATGGAGCACTTCCTACATATATAACATTCTAGGTACTTAAGTTGGATACATTTTCCTCTCCTCCTCTTCCTTCTTCTTGTTCCTCTTCTTTGTGTTATGGGGTATTGCATCCAGGGTCTTCATACTGACCTAATTCCCCAGCCTTTTAAAATTTTGAAACAAGGTTCCTCTAAATTGACAAGTGACCCAAGCTGGGCTTGATCTTGGTTCTTCCTGCCTCAGCTTCCCAGGCTGCTGGAATTACAGATGAATTCCACCACACTCAGCTGAACAACTTTTCTTAACATGTATCAAAATGCTAGGAGCTGAATTTGTTATCTTTCTAAAGCAGTATCGTCTTACAAAAATATTACTTGTGAAAAGTATAAAATTTCAAATTTTATGCTCTCCATATTACAAAGGTAAAAGGAAATGGGTGAAATTAATTTTGTAGTCTATTTTGTTTAACTTAACATTTTAAAATCATCACTTTAAAATGTAATGAATATAAATATATTAATAAGGTATTTCACATTTTTGGTGGAACTTAGTCTTTGAAATCCAGTATGTACTTCAAATTACAGGGCATCACAATTCATAGCAGTCGCATTCCAGGTGCTCGATGGTCATCCCCATGGTCATGGATGCCGTATTGGCCAGCAGAGCTAAATAGTCAGTAGGCCAGAAGTCCCAAGTTAGCAAGGCCTGGGATGCAGATCTAGGTCACTTGGCTCTAGAACTGTGGTTTTAATCACCATGTGTGCTGCCTCCTCATGAGCTACTATTTACAGAAGATTTAAGCAGCACATACTTATAATTAAGCAGCTTATTCATCTTGAATCATTATCAAGTTCCGGGTCAATATACCCAGGAGGTTCTCTGAGGCTTGAATGGAAGAATTTTTTCCAGTTCTGCTGGACATTTCCTTGGCAATGGCCTCTTCTGGGGCTCCTTGCCATTTTCCAGAACTTCAGGCCAGCTTGCTGCCAAAGCCTTCCAAGCAGATGCCTCCGGCACAGTTGCTCTCTGTGATAGGTACAAACGGTGCAAAAGTTCTGCTCTTTTGCTTAAATTTTTTGAAAACAGGGAAGCATGGCCTTAGTCCTGCCTGTGACTGTGAGATCCCTGCTCAGTTCTCATTGGCTTCCTTGTTGTTTCCAATACATGACAGTCAAACTGAACTGGAAGAAAGTTACTATGTGCCCCTGTGAGTGTTTTTTTCCTTTGTAAAGAAGCCTTTTCCTATGACTTTGAACTTGGAGTTGTGCCATTTCGGCATTTTAACTCAATACACCTTTGTCAAGTTTCAAAACCTTGGATATGATAACTTATTTCAGGCAACTACTGCTTTTTAAAAGGGAGATTTTTTTTTCTCCTGTGACCCTTAGTGCTTACATATTGCAGGTATAAGAAACTAATTATCATTTCTATCATATGGTCATTGTTCAGTTTATTACTGCTTTGGGGAAAAACCCCCAACATTTATAGTCTTAAAACATGTGTTCTATTTCAGAAATTTTGGAAGGGCTCAAATGGGGGGGGCTCATCTCTGAACAAGGTGGCATAGCTGAGGTGTGGCTGTGGAAATATCTGCTGCTAGGATGATGTCTTGATCCACACATCTGGTGCCTCAGTACTGTTGTTACATGGTGACCGACATCCAAAGTGCAGCAGACAGAAGCTGCCTGATCAGTTAAGGGCTATGGTGCAGGGAATTGATCCTGCATGACTTTGTGAGTCTCTTGGTCACAGCTGTCACCAGGCCCAGCCAGATTCAAATGGAGTGGAGAAATAGATCCAAATTCTTGATAAAGATATGTCAAGGTCATATTGCATGAAGGTGTGTCGGGTGGGAAATGTCTTAGCCATTAGGCTTGGGAAATCCCACCTGCCCATTTGCTTTGTGCCATTTCAATTTTAGGACAAATATAAGTATCTATACCCTACATGAAAAGTTGTTTCAACCAAATGGTTCATTTATGTTGCTCAAGTATGTTTTCTTTTCCCTTTGCTGTGCACCTGCCCCTTTTACTCCTTTCCACCTTTCTACATCATCTTTCAAGACTCATAACCATCCTCCTCCAGGACATCTTCTCAGATTAAGTAGCGGTGACTTTGCTTCTTGTTGTTACCACTCTGTGTTACAGCTGCATTCCTTTTTTGCTTTATTACTGCCCAACCCTAGCTCCTTACATTAAGTTTTCTCTATGGAAATACATGGTTCAAATTTTTCCTCAACAGATGAGGTAAAAGAATTGATTGCTCATAGGAATGGAGGTGCTTTCCTTCTACATATCATTGATTACTTCTGGGTTGCAGGAATTACAAAGCAACTCTGTAAATAGTAAAAATAAGGTGATGAGTATATTGTTTTTAGTTATTGGTACCCTAAGTTGTAGTGACTTTCAAACTGTACTCCACAATAACAACAACAAAAAAACTCACATGAGTAACCTATGCATAACTGTTGTCCACTCTATATATGAATCAAAGGTTTCATTAAAAACTGACTGTACTACTTACACTGTGTTCTGATAGTTTATATCTTACTCCATGTTTTACAAATCCTGGTAATGTCCTACAAAATTTATTTCACAGCCTACAATTTTGACAAATAACACTGGTTACTATTCACAATTTTTAAAATTCAGCCTTGAAAACATTTGTTCTACTGAGTTGCTCTTGTAAATGAACATTTTATGTGAATTTTTATGTTTTCATTATTCATAAGCTGTCTGCTTAAAAGGATATATAGCACATTGCATTTTACTAAAACTCTGAAAACAAATTTCAGGAACGATATTTAGGGACTAGATTAGATCCATACAATCCAAATACAGTACTTTTCAACTAGCATTAATACTCATACATTTTTACCCATAATATTAAAATAAAAAATAATGATTTAAATAATTTAGTCATTCAGTTTGGATATATCAATAATTTCAGAGTGCTCAAATGAAACTTCCTGGAGCATAGCTAATCAGCTCACCATTGGCAACATTGTAATAAGGTTCAACCTCGGACTATGGAAGTATCCCAAGTTTTAAGGACATAGCATTTTTATTTAAATATAAGGTACAAAGACCCAAAGACTTAAGGATATCTGAACAGATCACTTGTTATACTTTACAGAGAGTGGAAATTTATATCAAAAGTGAAGGAAGGGGCTGGGGATTTACCTCAGTGGTTCTGGCGCCTGCCTTGCAAGCACAAGGACCCGAGTTCGATCCCCAGTACCCCCTCCAAAACCCCCCAAAGTGTGAAGGAGGCTATGGGGGTGGCAGTTGGATAAAGTGTGTTGGTAGTATGCTATCCTTAGTAGAACAGGTAGCTACTTTTGTTACTTATTTGACCCCTTTTGCATTAATTCTTTGATTTGACCTGAGTCTAAATTCATAATCTCTTTATGCCTGTAGGATCACCTTTCAGTGGGTCCAAGTGGACATTCCTTTTGTTTTTTCTCAGTTATGACTTACTCCAAAATAGGAGATGAGGCACCAAAGGTTTTCCAGGCCTCAAGTGAAACCCATAGGGCTCCAGCAGGAGTAAGTATTTTGCAAACATTCTCAGAGCTTTCCGAAGTTGTGGGGTGATAGATTGCCTACATCATATTAATTACTACATTTGATTTGGTAAAGAGTGGCAAGATGGGGACAGGGGCATGGTGATAGGTAAGGCATTCATCACTGGGAAAACCATTAAAGTTCAGTTGTATTTAGTATATGGTATTTTGTTTGTCCTTTCCGCCCCCATGTCTGTGAGGATGACTTCTTTTATATAATTATCTCTTGATTGATTTTTATCTTCACATATGGACAAGATGATAATCATGAAGCATCCTACCTATAGTCAACTAAATGAAATGTTTCAAGTTGTACAGAAAGGATATATAATGAATAACCACATCTCTGCCCCCCAGTTTAGTCAAAACATAACATTTTTCTCTATTTGCTTCAAGTTGTCTCTTGTTCTGTTTTCTTTTTAAGCAAAAAGTGTTACTGACACAATTAAAGCTTCTAGTATACTCCTTCCAGGTCCCTTTTCTGTTTCTCAACCTTTTTCCTGTGTCTGAAGTTTATCATTATTATGCATATTTTTGTAATTTTATTATTTATGTACACATCATAAAACATAATAGATTACTTCTTCAGGTCTCTGAACTTTATACGAATGGTATTATTATTGAATGTGTCCTTGGCTCAGTAATAGGCTTCCGAGATTTGTTCAAGTTGATACATACAGTACTGGTTTATCTGTTTTAACTTCTATGTATTACTCAAAATATAAATAAAGCACAAATTTGTATCCATTTTTCTGTTGATAGATATTGAAGGGTATCTAACTTTGCTCTAATTAATCATTATACAGGTCTCTTATAAGACCTAAGAATGATATTGCTGGGTTGTGTAGGGTATGTGCACATTCGTCTTTATCTAGAAATTATCAGGTTACCATAGTGATGAGAGCTGTTGACTTCTACAAATTGTGGTGTGAGTATTCCCATTCCTCCAATTCCTTATTAGGACTTACAGTAAAATTTTAGGTTTTTCAGACTAAGGAATGTGAAATAATTGTTTATTCCCCATACACAAGCACATACTCTTAATACCCTTGCCATAGTTCTGCAAATTCATCCTAGATATTTTAATCTTGATTTGCTAAAAGTGACAAAGTCTTATATATAAATGATATAGTTAAAGATGTCTCAAAATATTAATCTTTTCCTATCATAAAAATTCTAATAATGCTTTCATAGAGTTCATGGTGGGAACAATGAGATTCAAACCCATCGACATGATTGATGAGTAGTTGGCATTACTTGTAGGAATGTAGCATGCACTTCCATCTATTACATTGTCAAAGACAGTGTTAAAGGCACCGAGTTTTATATAATTAAATTCGTTTTAAATATGTTATTGTGATTTGGAAAAAGGTTAAATCATATTCTTGATATCTGTCCTAGAAATGTTTACTTTAAACATTTTAGGAAATAGAAACCTATTACTACAGTTTTACTGTAAGTCAATAATAGCATTGCGTATCGTTACTCTTCTTTAAAAAATGTAGTATGAGGGATAGAATGCAGAGCCTTCACATTGAGCTATATCTTCAGGTCATTTTTTAGTTTGAGGTAGAGTCTCTCTAAATTGCAAGTTGGCCAGGTGGGTGGGATTTGAACTTGTGATCCTCTCCCGCCTCAGTCACTCAGAGTTCCAGTATTACAGGTCTGTGCTATAACACCCAGCTAGTTATTCATTATTTTTGGAGGAGTAGATCTATGGATTACTTTCTTAAATGACAAGATTCTGTGAAATTTAGAAATAAGTCAATTTATATATTATTTTTATTTTATTTTTGCAGATAAAGGAAACCAGGAAAGCAGTGAGAGATTCTGACTGTGGACTAGAAAAAATGGCTGTTGGTCATCATATCCATGACCACGCTCATGTTACTAAAAAGTCAAAGAACAAGAAGACTGGAGCCGAAGAGTTCAGTCAAGAGTTCATCAATATGAGTGAAAGTAAGCTATGACAAAAGTATTCTTCCATATAAAGTGAAGCTTTCAGCTACATTTGTGGAACTTGACCAGTTTTCATAAGATGTAGGTTATGAAGAACATGTACGAGGAATGCTCTCCCACAATAGTAAAATTGTGATTTAATCATTTAACGATGTTTTTACAGTGTTTTTTGACAATGTGGGGTATCATTTATTTTCTTGTGTTGTACTTAGAAAATAGAATTTTTGCATTTTTACTTAGTAACATTACCAGTAGGTAAAATCTGTATTTAAATATTTTTTATCAAGGGAGTATATTTGAAAAGTTTGAAGAAAGTAAAAATCATCTGTAATGCCAACTCCAAATAAAAACGAATATTGCTTTAGTGTGTTTTTTTCTTCATAGTTTTATATATGTGTAAACACATAATTTTTTTCAAATTAGTGTTTATATATTGTTTATATTGTGCTTATTATTATTACTACTACTACTAATAGTAGTAGTAGTAGTAGTACCAGAGATCAAACTCAGGCCCTTGAGATTGTGAGGCAGGTGGCAAAACCACTGAGCTAAATCCATTGCCCTGTATTGTGCTTATTTTAGCTCACCATTCTAATTGTCAAAATCACCCATCATATTCATTTTTAAAAAAAAATTATCGGGGGCCGGAGATTTAGCTCAGTGGTTCCGTGGCCTGCCTTGCAAGCACAAGGACCCGAGTTCAATCCCCGGTACCAAAAATAAACAAACAAACAAACAAACAAACATTATCAGTGATAACCTAAACGTGACATCATGAATGGGTCACAGTTTACTTAAAACTATTTTGTATTTTGAAAATTTGGGTTTTCTATATAGTTTTTGATTCCTGGTGTACCCTAAATAATATATATTTTATCAAGTAAGTCTTTCATTTTCTAGATTTGCATTCCTTCTTCAATGCTTTTAGGTCTTTCTAATGTTCTAACCCTTCTCATTATAGTTTTAAGTATACTAAGATATATTAACAATTGAAATCAAATTTTAATTTTATTTTAATGGTAATATTCAGTTATTTGTATTTTCATTTAAAAGTAAAATGATTGAAGTTTAGTCATATTCAATCTTATTTCATCATCTATTTTGAGTAATGTTTTATCAGAATAAAAGGTTTAAATTACTACACTATTTTAGTAAAAGGAATTCTACTGAAGTAGCTTTGATAAATTATGCAATAAGATGGAAGCCACAATATATTGACCTTTCTTTAATTGTATCCTTTGTAATTTTATAATCTAGACCTACATTGACTATTTCACAACAAGTTACATGTTGGAGAAAGTTTTAGTTCAGGAACACATTATGATAAGGGAACTGTGAAAGAACAGGAGCTATCATCTATGTTTATTGCTGTTATGGCAGTTAGATTACTTAACTTCCATGACAACATAAACTGGCAGTCCCCAGTTGGTATCTTGTCTTTGGAAATTGACTATAGAGTTTATGCAGTAGGGTTAAACAGGAGGATGATGAGGTGAAGAGGGATGCTAGCCGCAGAAGGAGCATCCCAAACTGGGCGTGGTGGCGCACGCCTGTAATCCCAGCACTTGGGAGGCTGAGGCAGGAGGATCGCTGTGAGTTCGAGACCAGCCTGGACTACATAGTGAGTTCCAGGTCAGTCTCAACTAGGTAGTGAGACCCTGTCTCAAAAAAAAAAAAAAAAAAAAAAAAAAAAAAGGAGCATCCCACTACAGGAGCACCACTGTGAGATGATTCAGATTCAGATCATGATTGAGTGTAATTGGGTCAGCCAGGCCATTGGGTAGAACAAAATGATATCCAGACAGGTGAGTGAAAAACAGATCATCATTAGGAATAGGGGAACAAAATATAGGAATGGGAATATTATCCTAGCCGAAAAAACAGCTTCCTACCTCTCTGTCTTGAAGGTAAGCCGATGAAAACACCAGGCCAGCATGGAGTATGAGGGAAAGCAAGGCACTTACTGATAGTTGATACCTAAGTATATATTCTCTTTATTTTTGTGTTTAATGTAGGTGATGCTCATGCCTTTGAGGATGAGTGGCAAAATGAGATTATGAAATACAAACAAGGGAGACAATGGCACAATCTAGAAAACACTAGAATGCAAAGTGTCGGTCATGAGAATTTTGGAACCAGAGAACTTAAAAGAAGGTAAAAGTTATAGAAACGTTATGTTATGTAACGTCTCTGTGAAGTTTACATATATTTAATGTGTATTAGATATTTTGGAAAAATTTTGCAAAAGCTTTAGCTTCTCTTGGAGTAACTAGGGAAAATAAATGTCTTAGAAAATATATTAAACTAAGGGATCATTGTCCATTTAGTACCATTGTGGAATTATAAATTATAAATTTATAATTTGGCTCTTGGATAAAAAAATGGAAAATAATAACTATTCCTACGGAAATTACAGTCCAGAGAGACACGGCCTAGCCAGGCCTTAAAACAGAAATCTGTTCCAGGATATCAGAAACTGGAGGGTTACAACAGAAGGTAGAGACCATTACAGAAACATGGATAAGTGGGTATCAAGTAAATCAGAAGTCTGTGCAGAATTTCATGTGCTCATATCTTTTATTTGTTGGTTTGAGTCCTTGAGGGTAACCATTTTTATTAGGATAACATGGAATCTCAGTATTGTTTTGATTTGTATTTCCCTAATGGCCAAAGATGCTGGCCATTTTTCATGCATCTATTAGCCATTTGTACTTCTTCTATTTTTGAATGAATCTTCTGTTTTGAGGAGCACCTAATTTTTTAGTTGTTACTTTTATGTATTGTAGATATTAGTCCTCTGTCTGAAGAGTAGCTGGCAAAAAATTTTCCCCATTCTGTAGATTGTCTCTTCTCCATGCTGATTGTTTCTTATGCTGTGTAGAAACTTAAATTTGATATAATCCCATATGTTGGTTCTTGGAATTATTTCTTGTGCAATTGGGATTTTGTTGTTAAGGATGTTCTTGCCTGTGCCAGTGACTATAGCAAACCCCTGATCCAGTCACTTCCCGCAAGACCCACCTCTGAACACAGGAGGCTTTTGGAGGACGGTCTAGATCTAAACCCTAACACTTAGTTTTGGTATTGGGTAATGCTAGCTTCAAGGAATGAATTTGGCAGTGTTCTTTTTCTTTCAGTTTCATGGGCAAGTTTGAGAAGTATGGGCATTAGTTTTTCTCTGAAGTTCTGGCAAATTTCAGCAATGAAGACATCAGGTCCTGGGCTTTTCCTAGGTACTATATAGTTTTATTACTGCCTCAAGTTCATTGCCTATTATCAGAATACTCAGGGCTTTTATATCTTCTTCGTCCAATTTTGGTAAGTCATGTGTCTAGAAATTCATCCATTTCTTCTAGATTCTTCAGTTCATTGGACTGTAAATTTCCAAAATAGTTTCTTATAATCCTCTGGATTTTAGCAATATCCATTGTGATTTTGTCTTTTCACTTCTTTTTGTTTGTTTTTGTTTTTGATTTTATTTTTGAGACAGAGTCTCCCTATGTAGTTGAGACTGCACTGCAACTCACTGTGTAGCCCAGGCTGGTCTGGAACTCACATTGATCCTCCTGCCTCAGCCTCCGGAATGCTGGGATTACAGCACCACGCCCAGCTTGTCTTTTCACTTCTAATTTCATTGAGATGGATATTTTATTCCATTGCTAAATCTGTTTAAAGATTTTTTGTTTTTTGTTTTTTTTTTAATCTTACTTATACTTTGAAAGAACCTATTTTGTGATTCATTCATCCTTTATTGATGTCTGCTCTGATCTTTATAGTTACTTTCTTTTAATAGGTTTGGAGTTTGGATTGCTTTTGTTTTTTTAGGCCCTTGAGATGCATCAACATTAGATTATTCAGTAATATTCTACTTTTCTAATGTGTGCACTCAGAGCCAAACTTCGATCTTAAACCTCTTTTATTGTGTTCCACAGGTATCAGTGTATTGTATACTTCAAATGTCACTTGAGTCTAGGAATTTTTCAGTTTCTTCCCTGATTTTTTTTGTAGCCCATTGGTTATTCAGGAAGAGTATCATTTAATTTTCATGTGTTTGTGTACTTTGTGCGGTTTCTTTTACTGTGGATTTAGTGTTATTCCATTGTGATATGATAGGATGCAAGAGGTTATTTCCATTCTTTTATATTTATTTAAATATATGTGAAAAAATGGAAACAAAGTCTTTGTAAATAGGGAAGGGTAAAGGGCAGGGGTGAAGGGAGGGTAGGGGTATGGGAAAAAACAAGGACCAAGATATATCATGTGCATGTATCATGTAAAGGCACAAGATCCAAATGATAAATGTGCTGTATTGTTTGCTTTAAATGTACCAGTAAACTTAATGGAAAAATAAATAAGTAAATATACTCTGTAACCTAAGATGTTCTATTTTAGAGAAAGTACCATGGGCTGCTGAGAAGAATATGTACTATGCTGCTTTTAGATAAAGCAGTCAATAGCTCTCTGTTAGGTCCTTTTGTTCCATAGCATGGTTTGACTCTGATATTTCTTTGTTGAATCCCATTTGTTTGACCTATTTGTGAGTGCTATTAAATTCCCACACTATAATTGCATTGATGTCTGTCAATCCTTTTAATTGAAGAAGTTTTTGTTTTATGCAATGAAGTATGCTGACATTTAGTGCATCTATCTATCTATCTATCTATCTATCTATCTATCTATCTATCTATCTACCTATATCTATATCTTCCTATTGAATTTGACCCACTACCAGTATGTAGTGACCTTTTGTCGCTTTTCATCAGTTTTGGCTTGAAGTCCACTTTTTCTGATATTAGGATAAGTTATTCTTATTTGCTTTTGGGCACTGGTTTGCATGGAGTATTTTACATCTTTCACAATAAGTCTGTGTTTCTTTATGGTGAGGTATGTTTCTTGTAGGCAACGTATAGTTAGGTTTTGTCTTTTGAACAAGTTTGCCAGTCTGTGTCTTTTCACTGGGGGAATTAAGATCATTCACACAAACATTATTACTGACAGGTTTTTACTTGCTCTATCCTTATATTTTCAAGGCTGATTTTTTCTTTTTCCTTTTGTTTAACTACTCTTTTAAAAGTATTCTTTCCCTGGGGCTCCTCGGTGATGTTCACTCACTGTTTCTGTTTAGAATTTCCTTGAGTGTTTTCTGCCATACTAGTTTGGTGGCCATGAATTACAGTAGGATTCCCTTATATGAAATTTTGAAAAAAAACTGTAGTGCCAGCTTAATGGTAACTAGGATTGGGGGGAGGTATTTACTTACAAAGGCACAAAAGAGAACAGTTTAGGGTGATAGAAACATTTTATATCTAATTGTGGTTTTATCTGTTATACATTTCTGAGAATTCACCAAACTACAATTAAACTGGATAAATGCCATTGTATATAAATCATATCTAATGAAACCTGAATTAAAACAATCTCCCTGCATACCCAATCACAAATTCAATTAGGTAGTTTCCTCCAGGGTAATATGTTAATAAAACTGAGCTCCCATGGGGTAGGTTTATGTATACAAATATTAAAGAATTCAAAGGAAAAGCTGTTTCTGCCTGGGAGGACTGGCAGATAACAGAAATTTGGAGCTCTTCATAATGGCATCAGAGGATTGGAATTGAATTAGTGACAGGAAGGGTGATCTCTAAGGAGGATGTAACAGAAAGGAAGTCTAAAAAGAAGACAAACTTCTGGTAGGCTCGTTTGGCCAGCAATGAAGCATTAGATTGCTTTGGTAAACTCCAACTGTAGTGTGCCTTTGTTTGAGATGGGAAAAAAGGAACTGACTACTGGGGTGATGACTTCCAACTGGAATAAAGGTAGAAAACCATTATAATAAGGTATTAAAAGTTTTAGATTCGTGGGCCTGGGATTTAGCTCAGTGGTTCCACTGCCTGCCTGCCTTTGCAAGTGCAAGATCCTGAGTTCAATCCCTAGTACCAATAAATAAATAAATAAGTAAGTAAGTAAATAAATAAATAAATAAATAAATAAATAACATTTAGGTTCTTGAGTGAGAGTTGTAATGAAAGTTAATATCAGATTAAGAGCATTTATATTTATAAAGCACATAAGATAGGGCTTGGAATGTAATCATTGTTCTGTGTGTGTTTTTAAAATGATTTATCCTTTTTAAAAAGATCCAGTATATATTTTACATAAGAGGTATTTACTGATAGAATAAGAGGAAATGGCCTCCATATATAAGGAAGAGAAGGTAAGATACTAAAATCTATTCAGAATATTATATGGGTTAATTCTGATTTAATCTTGACAGTAGAAATATTCAGTATTTACCTTTAAAAAATAACTGTGGCAACTTAGTCTCAGGAAGAAGAGCTTGAATTCTAGTATTCTACTACCACAAACACAGAAAGGGTCAGTTTCCTCAAAGACTGATGAGGGCCTACCAAATCATACTCAGAGCCAGTAAATTTGACCAGGATGTTGAGGGTGGGAATGAACCAGAATCTGCATTGCTGACTAACTTACTAGTTGGTTGGTAATCTCAAAAAATGTTTGAGGAACCTTGTTTAAGACTTTGCAGACATTTCTGTTGTGCAATGATTTCTAGTATTCAGAATTCTTAGAAACAAAAGTTAGACTTTTATACTATCTGTATCTTTGTCTGTGTCTAGTAAAATATATATATTGTGTCTTTATAGTGTTCTTAATATAGCTGTAATTTTCAGTGCTCATATTTCAAAAGTAAGAATAAGTCCTTGTTAGAATCTACATTGTTGATGGCCCCAAGTGTCCTCTACATGGTAGCAGTATTTTTCAGATTTTTTTCTTCCTTCCTTCCTTGCTTCCATCTTCCTTCCTTCATTTCTTTCTTTCTATCTTTTTTTCTTGCCATTTGCCTCAGATGTGTAACTTCGTTATTTATCATTTTTATGCAATAAGAGATAAATGTGTAATTTTAGTATAATAACTGAATTATAGTGGTTAACAGCAGATTCTCAAAAGTTGGACTTATAAGTAGTCAATCTTTTTTTAGGAGATATTTTGGTCTTCCTAAATAATTTTTATAACTCAACAAGTATATGAGCTCCATATAATTCTTTGTAGTCTTATTAAAACTTATTATGCCTGTTTATTATTTAAACCATAAGAATTCTGCATTATTCTGTTTATTTTCCACAGTGATTCTTTTCTTACACACCAAGAAAATATGCAACAGAGGATACATTTTTCTGAACCTTTTGGAAGAGATGTGCTCAGTATCTCTGTTGGAAGACAAAGAGCTCATAATCCTACAAGATGTGATGATGGTGAAGATTCTTTGTCTGTAAGTTGTGCATTTTAAAGACATTTAGTGAGAAAGTACTATGGGAATTTGAGAAAAATATTACAGAAATCAATATCCATGATGATAGGATGTGACTAATTGTGATACAGAAATGTCTGTTACATAGAGAAGGAGACCTGCTGAACAGTAGAATCCTGGAATAATGAGTTGTTATCTATATAAAAATTCAACTGGCCTACCATAACTTTTAGGACCATAGAATTAATTATATATTATAACCAAAATTATTATTATTATTATCATTATCATTATTATTATTTTGGTACCAGGGATCGAACTTAGGTCCTTGTGCTTGCAAGGCAGATGACAGAACCACTGAGCTAAATGCCCGGCCCTATAACCAAAATTTAAACCATTATTTTAATATATTTTTTCATATTATAATTTCCTCTTATATCTTGAATTAGAACACACTAAATTTATTTCCTTATCACACATATTTCTTTGTTAGTGAGAAGAAGGAAAGTTGAAGGGAGAGAAAGGAAAAGGGGAAAAAATAATTAAAATCTATTATGTACAGGTACAAATTCCTTATGATGAATGTGATCATTATGTATGACAAATATGTACTAATAAGTAAAACAAACAATATTTTCAAATAGTACTGAAATCTGTAATTAATGCTTTGTTGCACTAGAAAACACTGATCTTCTGCACAGATACCTTAATCATTCATAGTTTAGATTAATCTTCAGTTGTGGCCCAAAAGCCTTGCACTACTGCAGTATATTCTTGTAAGTCCTATCTGAGAGCAAATCTGGAACATATATGAACATATTCAACTAAAAATAGATGTTTGTATATCTTCATCTCTCTCTCTCTTTTCATTTTTGTCTTTTTGTTTGTTTCTTTTGACTTTTCAGGCTCAGGAATGGCAGTTCTGTAATAACAAATTTACAGGGGTTTGTATAGAGATGAATATCTGCAGTTGAAATGTAGATGTTGAAACTCAGTAAATATTGAATTGGTCAAGTAGTAGACTTCCACAATCTTCTAGAAGATCATTTCGTATTTGCTCTTTGTAATAAGCATAACCAAAGTATAATATCTTAGATATTCCTAAGAAGTTTGTTGAGTGCAGTTAATTTGCCTCTTGAAATGTATCTTCACATCTTTTTCATATATATCATTGCCAAGCAGTATATTCACATTCAAATTAGCTTTTTAAAATTAGTGAATAGTAGTATCATCATATATGCTTTTAGGTGATGATCAATTTTCTCAACAGTTTTGTTAATATCAGAGGAAAGTTGTCAAGTACAGCAGAAATCAAATTGTGGGGATTAAAGTCAATTAAGTACTAAAATATTTTGGATATCTGCTCTAACCATAGCAAGGAAAGAGTAGAGTTATACATAATTTATTATGTTTATGTGTATACACGGGCTACTTATGGCTTTTATAGAATAAGCAAGAAGTGCCAGTTTTAGTCCCTTGATTCTAAGGACAGAAATGAGACCTGTTTGTAATTCAGCCCAAAATTTCTTACTGGAGCTGATTGATCACATTATAAATATGATGGTCATTCACTGGAAGAAGTAAATGTTTCTTTCCTAGATTTTTTTGCTTAAAGCACGGTGTTTAATAAAAAGTGGAATAAGAGGGCTGGGGATTTAGCTGAGTTGTTCCACCACTTGCCTCACAAGCACAAGGACCTGAGTTTGATCCCTAGTACCAAAAAAAAAAAAGATTCATAATTTAGAACTTTATATTTTCCATGTGTCATTTAAATCAAGAAAAAAACACACACAAAGTAAACATAATATAATGTCACAAAAGTGTTGATGGGATAAGAAAAGTCAAATAGGAAAACAATTCTAAATACAAAAGAAGTCCAAGAACAACATTTGAATGAAAAATGAAAATAATTGCTCCCTTGTTCTCACACATGTGCTGTAATAGCAAAATACCTTAAATTGGGTAACTTATAAAGAGTAAAAGTTTGTCTCACAGTTCTGGAGGCTGGGAATTCCAAGATCAAGGTGCTGTTCGATTCTCTGTGTAGTGAGGGCTTGCTCTCTGACTCATAGGTAGCATCTTCTTGCTGTGTCCTCACAGGGTAATGGGGGAAAGCGCACTCCTTCAGCCCTCTTTTATAAACAGTTTATCTGGATCATGAGGTTTCAATATGGAATGTGTCTTGTGCTGACTCATCATAGGCAGATAGGTTTGGCTTCTCTATTTGCATGGCGCTCCAGTCAAGTTCTAAAATGAATAAAAGCCATACTGTGACCTCAAAAATATATATTGAGACTATTTTTTGGGGGGTACTGGGGATCAGACTCGGGACCTTGCACTTGCAAGGCAGTACCTAATGACCTAATGACCAGCAAACTTTTCAATGGACAGAGACTTTACAAGAATCATTTGAGAACATCAAGGCTGCACTGCTAAGAGCATCAGCCTTGAGTCTACCAGACATAACTAAGCCCTTTCACTTCTATGTGGACAAGAGTCAAGGGATTGCCAAAGGAGTGTTAACTCAATATCTCAGCCCTTGGTGAAGAACAATAGCTTACCTGTCAAAAAAATTGGACCCCATAGCATCCGGGTGGCCACCTTGCTTGCGGATGATTGCAGCAGTGGCACTTATGGTCAAAGATGCTAACAAACTCACTTTGGGCAATGAATGTATGTGACTATTCCCCATGCAATTGAAGGAATAATAAAACAACCTCCAGATCGATGGCTAACTAATGCTGCCTAACTCATTTACCAAGGCCTCCTCCTCAATCCTGCCTGAGTTGTTTTCCAGCCTCCAGCTGCCCTGAATCCTGCCTCCCTGCTGCCCAATCCAGATCTAGATGCTCCACTCTATGACTGCAAAGAGATACTAGCCCAGGTGCACAGCACCCAGGAGGACTTAAGAGATCAACCATGGCCAGATGCAGAACTGACTTGGTATACTGATGAGAGCAGCTTCATGCACAATGGACACAGGTATGCAGGGGCAGCAGTTACATCAGAGACTGAAAAAATTTGGGCTGAACCCCTCCCTGTTGGGACATCAGCACAATGGGCAGAACTCATAGCCTTAACTCAGGCTTTAACCTTGGGACAAGGAAAGAAATTAAATGTCTATACTGACAGTAGATATGCTTTTGCCACTGCTCATGTTCATGGGGCCATTTATCGGGAAAGAGCATTATTTACTGCAGAAGGAAAAATTATAAAGAATAAAGAAGAGGTATTGGCTCTATTAAAGGCTTTATGGTTTCCTAAAAGACTCAGTATAATTCGTTGCCCAGGCCATCAAAAAGGCAATACACCTATACCCAGGGGCAATAATCTGGCTGATCAAACAGCCAAAGAAGCAGCCCTCCATATCTGAGATATCATGGCCTTACAATTCCCTGATCTGGGAACTCCAGCCCTCCCTGAAAAGGGAGACTACTCCAACTCGAATTTAGCATGGATCAAACAGATGCCTGCTGCTCAATTAATTAAAGGATGGTGGAAATAAGATAATGGAATCATCCTTCTACGTGTGAAGCTGGGAGATCAACTGCTTTTGACTCTTCATTGATTTACTCACTTAGGAGAAAAGAAAATGAGGGAATTAATTCAACATTCCCAAATCAAAATAAAGGACATCTCTACTAAAATTAAAGGAATTACCTCCTCCTGCAGGGTCTGTAAGATGACCAACGGAGCCCATACTAATAATGAGCCAGGTCACCGCTTGAGGGGCAACAGACCCAGAGCCTACTGGGAGATGGTCTTTACAGAGGTAAAACCCAGAAAATATGGTTGCAAATATTTATTAGTTCTTGTAGACACTTTTTCAGGTTGGACAGAAGCTTTTCATACAAAATATGAAACCTCTAAAATGGTGGCAAAGAGATTATTAGAAGATATTTTACCCAGGTATGTCTTTCCAATGGTTCTGGGGTCTGATAATGGACTGGCCTTTGTCTCTAAGGTAAGCCAGGATCTAGCTTAGGTATTGGGGGCTAATTGGAAATTACATTGTGCATATCACTCCCAGAGTTCAGGACAAGTAGAGAGGATGAATAGAACCCTAAAAGAGACCTTAATTAAATTAACCTTAGAGACTGGTGGGGATTGGGTGTTGCTCCTCCCCTTCACATTGTATAGGGTATGTAATACACCCTATAAATGGGGATTAACCCCCTTTAAAATAATGTTTGGTATCCCTCCTCCTATCATCCCAAATCTTCGAACAGAAATTTTAACTGAATGTAAGGATTATGAATTGTTAAATTCTTTATCTGGCATTCAACAGGTGCATAAAGAGATTTGGCCTAAGCTCCAAGCATTATATAATTCAGGTCCCACTCCCTCCCCCCACAATTTTAAACCAGGGTATTGGGTCCTAATAAAAAGACATCGACAAGACACCCTAGAACCATGCTGGAAAGGTCCTTATGTTGTCTTGTCCATACCCACAGCAGTCAAGGTTGGTGGAATCGCTTCCTGGATACATCACACACATGTAAAAAAGGACATCGATCCTGCACAGTCAACAGATCACTGGAAATCAATTAGAGATCCTGATAATCCTCTAAAGCTAAGAATTATGAGATCCTAATCTAATGTTCCCATAAGATATTGTTTTAATAAAGCATCTTTGTTGAGCCTTGGCTTAGAAGCTCACTAGTCCTTATCTTAGTGTATTATTTGATATTTGGCTTTGGGATAAATCTAAATATAGGAGCCCTTGCCAATATTTTCCTTTTGATTTGGAGCCATTGAAATATTAGTTTTTACATATAATATTTAAATTTTTAGGGATGCCTCCTATGTTGGAAGAAAAAGGGTCCCATGGATGTATAATCATAATTCTTATGTTTTATTTTATGGCAAAATGTCATCTTGAAAAGTTAAGTCCTCATCAACCTGTAAAAGTTACTTGGATGATAATGAATCCCTCAACGGGAAGAACAATAAATTCAATCTCCAGATGGGCTCCTCCAAATATCTAGTGGCCGAATCTTGAATTTGATTTATGTGATGTGACACTAGGACATAACTGGGATGTAGCCAATTGGAAATATGATTCCGCTGGCACACCTAGATGTGAGGGCCGTTGCCATTGGTATTTTAATGAAGGGCTAGGATGTACTCATAGATATTCTAGATCTAAGTTAGTGGATCAATGTATATATTTCTGCCCCAAGGATATGAGATAAATCTAAATGTGGGGGAGAAGATTATTTTTATTTTAAAAATTAGGGATGTGAATCATCCAGTACTATACCAGAGCATCCAGCTGACAGGAAAACAGATCTCATATCAGTTATCAGAAAACCCCAATTGCTTAGATATTATCCACAACCTATCCTCGTTATTATTGGCAATGTACCAAGTTTCAATGTAACCCTATTTTAGTGTCCTTCACTGAATTGGGAAAACAGACCTCATTAGAGGAATGGAGAAAGGGACAACAATGGGGATTGAGGATATATACAACTGGCTTGATCAAGGAAACCTGTTTAGCATTCATCAAACAATAGAATTTGGGATACTGCCAATGCTCAAACCTGTCCCCATACTGGAGTCCACTTCCAAGTCAGTCCCCAGGTTGTCATCAGCTCCTGAACCTGTTCCCAAGTTAACAAACATTCCTGAATCTGTCTCTAGGCTGCCACCTATTTCTAAATCAGTTATGAATGAAAAACAACCAGTTCAGTCATCCCGAGGTTCCAATTTTTCCAGTCCCCTCCTAAAAATAATGAAACAAGCTTTCTCAATACTCAATGCTACAAAGCCAGAAATTACCAAAAATTGTTGGTTATGTTATGATATAAGGCCCCCTTATTATGAGGGTATTGGATCCCAGGTAAACTATGTCTTGTCTTCTGATTATACCAGTTGCAGATGGGGACAAGGAAAGATGGGGAAATTAACCCTTATATCTATTAAGGGTTCCGGCACCTGCATAGGTGCCGTGCCAGACTATCATAAATATCTCTGTAATAAAACTTATACAGTAAATGTCAGTGTATATTATGTTCCCACCAATAGTGGATGGTGGGCATGTTCTTCTGGTCTAACCCCCTGTGTATATGGGCAAATATTAAATCAAACCAAAGATTATTGTGTCCTGATCAGTCTGATGCCCCGAATCATTTATCATGAATATGACAAATTTTTTAATGAATGGAATGATAGAAATATGAGGCGAATTAAGAGAGATCCAATGACCATAACCCTAGCAGAGTTATTGGGAATGGGCATTGCAGGGGCTAGTACTGGAATAGCCACCCTCATTACACAACACCTACAATACAATGGTTTATGGATAGCAGTTGATCAGGACATTGAAAGAATAGAATTATCAATCACTAAATTACAGGAGTCTGAGCTCTCTTGCTGAGGTAACTTTACAATTAAAGAGAGGATTAGATCTAATGTTTCAACAACAAGGAGGACTATGTGCAGCCCTGGGAGAAGAATGTTGTTATTATGAAAATCATTCCAGGATAATTAGAGATTCCATGGCCAAAATTAGAGAAGGATTAAATAAGAGAAAAACAGAAGGAATACAACACCAAGGATGGTTTGGAGATGGATTCTCTTTATCCCCCTGGCTAACCACTTTACTTTCTACCCTAGCCAGACCATTGGTTTTGGGTTTAATTTTGCTTATAATAGGACCTTTTATAATTAATAAACTAATTGTTTTATTAAACAGAGGATAAATTCTGTACAATTGATGATACTGAAACAGCAATATCAACCTCCTCCAGAGGAAGAAGAAGATATCTTAGATATTTAATTTCCTTTTTCTTTTTCCAAAGGTCAGGACACCCTTTGGACACACAAGCCCTAAATGCATTATTTTTTGAAGCCATTGGGAAAATTTGGATTCCCACAGATACTATGGAATGTCTTTTACACTTATATCCTATAAAGTTTTGTCCTTATTGTGCCCCAAAAATTCAATATGCAGCAGTTGAAGTGTCAAAGCGAATAGGAGATACAGCTCTACTCTCAGTATATTGCTCAGAGCATAGGGAAATCATGAATCAAAACTTCAAGTGTCTTAATTGGATGCAGGCCAGAGTTTGGTCTAATTGGTTACCGCCTTCACAGAATATAGATTATCTAGTGCATCTAATGTGTCATTATCCCCCTGTGCCAATATATTCAGAGGAAAAAATACCACAGGGTCATGAGATGTCAGAAGAAAAGCATATAGGAGATCCCCCTGAAGAATCAGAAAAACCCCAAGAAATGTGGATTTATAAAAAAAAATCCCTATAGATTATATTGGATTGTAATTTTTTTTAGAATCATTAGAACCCAATTTATTAGATCCAAAGGACAGGAGTCTATATAATACTAATTTGAGTTGTATGAAACCCATCTATATGCAAAGGTCCAAACCATGGAAATGCTGTTTCTCTATTGAATATGTCCCTCTAACCTCTCCTAGATCCCTCCAGGAAATAACCATGAGGAAACTTCTATCTGATGCCAGGCAAGCAGTAGTACATGAATTAACAGCCTTCAACAATTTTTGGTGGCACTCCAGAGTACAAATCAGACCTCGACCATGGATGTCATACCACTTCCCTCACTGTCCACCAGTGTGATATTAGAGATCAACTCATTATCAGAAATCAACCCTTTGGAACCTATCCCAAAAATCAATTTTTCTTGTCAGATCTCAGAGCCTATCCCAGCCCAATGGAACCCCAATGATGTAAATATCTGGTCTTTGTATCCACAGGTTGTACTGCAACAGCTCCCACAGCAGACTATGCAACCAGACCCGAGCCAGCAAGAGGTGCCACCGAACACATGCCAGTTACACCACCAAATCCAGATACACAACAGGAGTCTATTATAACCAATGAGGACTTGACAACCATGACAATACGAGAGCTGACTTGGTATGCATGCGGGTTGAAATTACCCCTAGATGAATATGCAAAATTAAAACAGCGCCGGGGTACACTCTTAAATTGTGGCTATTCAGCAACTGGATGTAATAAGCAAAGAAAAGAATGAATAGAACAAGGAGAACAAAAAATAGAACTTTTACAACAAATTCAAAGGCCAGCTGAGGAAATACAAGAATTAGAAAAACAAAAATTGGAGTTGTTAAAAGAAAATAATGAATTACTTATAAAGGTTAATGAATTAACTACCAAAGTTACCATTCTAGAGTTAGAGCTTGAAAACTTGAATTCCAAATATAAAACTTGATGGACTCAGGTCGGGGCTCCCTTATTGTTGATAAGAGAAACAGATAGGGATACACAAGTTGAATGTCTTGCCCCCTATCCTCATCCAAGGAGTCCACTTCCTCCCTTGAATCTTTCCAAGAATGATAATTAAATAGAGCTCCCAACTCATGGACATGAGGACCCCAGCCCCATTTTTTAGGTTCCATGTCACCCCCTTTCAGCAGGGAGTAGTTTAATGGAGATGACACCCAGATTCCCATGATTGGGTCCCTATGGTCCTTGAGAAGGGGGAAATATAAGGACGAAGTTTTCAGGTCAAGGTGGGCTCCATGCCCCTTACCCAAAATAGAGTGAATCCAAAAGTTTCTTTCTGTAAAATTCCATTCTATGTGACAGTCTCTCTGTGTTTCCATTCCGCTTTTAAGGGCAAGTTATCCTAGGGCATCTCCACCTTGTTTCTGTTCCTTTTTTCAGATCCCAAAATGGATCCTTTTCTGTTTGATTTAATTAATATAGGAATTAGTCATAGCTGACATAGGTAGCTACTTGCTGATATTCTGGCTTGCAAAATCAGATGATCTAATGAAAAGAGAAATTGATTCTGCAAATGTAGGCATTAGGTAATTTTACAATAAGTGAACTCCCGTGTGCCCATTGAATATCCAATGATATGTAAAAGCCCTCCCTAAATTATCCAATGATAAATGAGAGCTAAAACTAGAAACTATATAAGAAAAAGTTTCCTTAATTCTATATAAAACCATTTCAAAAATGGATGTGGGCTCTCACTCTGAAGCCGCTGCGAAGGTGATACCTTAGAGTCCAGGCCTGAGCTTGAAAAAGACTACTCTTGTAATTGCATCAGACATGATTCCTTGGTGGTCTTTGGGGACATTGTGACTTGGGCATAACAGACTCTCCACAAGCACCTGGACCTCTGTAAACTTGGTGTTAGATTCAATTTGAGGTTAGAAAACAGAGGCATTTTTTAGAGTGCTTTTGCACTTTCAACCGCAGTTTTCCCATGAAGGAGTTTCATTCGCAGGTTACCACATTGAAACCAAAGCCATTTGTTACCTGAATTTGAAGTACTTCACAGAGCAAGGGACTGCAACACTGTCAGTTTACCTGTGAAGTCCACTACACCCAGGGAGTGGAACTGAATTCCTTTTTGATTGTAGGTCACTGCGTGGCAGATATTGAAGCACTTTTCTGAGAGGCTTCTAGCAAGCAAGGCAATCAGGCCTAAGGGAGTGCTTAGGAGCTCCCACTCCCCACAAGCCCCTGGACCTCTGTAAACTTGTTAATAAATTCAAGTTAATGTAAGAAAGCAAATGCATTTTTCAGAGTGCTTCTGAAGTTTAAACCCCAGTTTTCCCAAGAAGCAGTTTCTTTTGCCAGTTACCCCTTTGAAACCAAAGCCGTTTGTTCCTTGAATGTGAAGTATTCCACAGAGCAAGGGGCTGTAACCCTGTCAGTTTACCCGAGAAGTCCACTTCTCCTAGGAAGTGGAACTGTACTCCTTGTTTGTAGGTCTCTGCCTGGCAGAGATGGATGCACTTTTCTGAGAGGCTTCTAGCAAGATTTACCCTTAGGCATCAGAGAGTGCTTAGAAGCTGGGACTCCCCACAAGGACCTGGACCTCTCTAAACTTGGTGATAAGTTCAATTTGAAGGTAGAAAGCAAATGCACTTTTCAGAGTGCTTCTGCAATTTAAACTGCATTTTGCCCTTGAAGCAGTTTCTTTCCCCAGTTACCACTTTGAAATCAAAGCAATTTGTTTGCTGAAGGTGAAGTACTCCACAGAGGAAGGGGCTGCAACTCTGTGAGTTTCCTTGTGAAGTCCACTTCGCCTTTGCAGTGGAACTGTATTCCTTCTTGTTTGTAGGTCTCTGCCTGGCAGAGATTGAAACACATTTCTGAGAGGCTTCTAGCAAGCTTTGCCCTTAGGCCTGAGAGAGTGCTTAGCAGCTCTCACTCCCCACAAGCACTGGGACCTCTGTAAATTTGGTGATAAGTTCAAGTTGTTAAAAAGCAAACACACTTTTCAGAGTGTTTCTGTGCTTTAAACCACAGTTTTCCCAGGAAGCAGTTTCTTTTGCCAGTTATGCCATTGAAACCAAAGCGGTTTCTTTTTTAAACATGAAGGTACTCCACAGAACAAGGGGCTGTAATTCTGTCAGTTTTCCAGTGAAGTCCACTTCTCCTACAGAGTGGAACTGTATTCCTTCTTGTTTTTAGGTCTCTGCCTGGCAGAGAAGCATTTTTTTTCCTCGGTTACCCCATTGAAACCAAGGAGGTTTGTTTCCTAAACATGAAGGTTCTCCATAGAGCAACGGGTGCAACTCGGCCAGTTTCCCTGTGAAGTGCACTTCTCCTATAGAGTGGAGCTCTATTCCTTCTTGTTTGTAGGTCTCTGCCTTGCAGAGATTGAAGAACTTTTCTGAGAGACTTCTAGCAAGTTTTCCCCTTAGGCTTAAGAGAGTGCTTACCAGCTCTCATTCCCCACAAGTGCCTGGACCTCTGCAAACTTCGTGAGAAGTTCAAGGTGAGGTTAGAAAGCAAATGCGCTTTACAGAGTGCTTCTGCAGTTTAAACTGCAGTTTTCCCAGGATGCAGTTTCTTTCGCTGGTCACCCCTTTGAAACCAAAGAGGTTTTTTCCTAAAAGTGAAGGTACTCCACAGAGTAAGGGGCTGTAATTCTTTCAGTTTACCAGTGAAGTCACCTTCCCCTATGGAGTGGAACACTATTCCTTCTTGTTTGTAGGTCTCTGCCTGGCAGAGATTGAAGCACTTTTCTGAGAGGCTTCTAGCAAGCTTTGCCCTTAGGCCTAAGAGAGTGCTTAGCATTTTGGACTCTGCACGAGCTGCTGGACCTCTGTAAACATGATGATAAGTTCAAACTGTGGTTAGAAATCAAACACACTTTTCAGAGTGCTTTTGTGATTTAATTTGCAGTTTTCCCAGGATGGTGTTTCTTTCACTGGTTACCCCCATTGAAACCAAAGCAGTTTGTTTCCTTAACATGAAGGTACACCACAGAGCAGGGGGCTGCAACTCTGTCAGTTTCCCTGTGAAGTGCACTTCTCCTACCGAGTGGAATTGTATTCCTTCTCGTTTGTAGGTCTGTGCCTTGCAGAGATTGAAGCACTTTTCTGACAGGCTTCTAGCAAGCTTTGCTTTTAGGCTAAGAGAATTTTTAGCAGCTCTCACTCCTCACTAGCACCTGGGCCTTTGTAAACTTGATGCTAAGTTCAAGTAGTGCTTAGAAAGCAAACACAGTTTTCAGAGTGCTTCTGCAGTTTAATTTGTAGATTTCCCTGAAACAGTTTCTTTCAGTGGTTACCCCATTGAAACCAAAGCGGTTTGTTTCCTAAATATGAAGGTACTCCATAAAGTAAGGTGCTGCAACTCTGTTGGTTTACCAGTGAAGTCCACTTCTCCTATGGAGTGGAACTGTATTCCTTCTTGTTTTTGTGTTACTGCCTGGCAGAGATTCTAGCACTTTTCTGAGAGCACTTTCTTCATTCTTTATGGATGTGTAGTATTCTATTTTATAGAAAAACCATATCTTCTTTATCCGGTCTCCAAGTGATGGGCAAATGGGCTGTTTCCATATTTTAGCTATTACAAACTGTGCCACTATAAATATCAGTGCACGTATATCACTGTGATATGATTCTTTTAATTCTTGGAACCAAAAGAGACCCAGAATACCAAAAGCCATCCAAACAACATAGACATGGCAGCAGGTATAACAATTCCAAAGTTGAAACTGTACTACAAAGCCACTGTGATAAAAACAGCATGGTACTGGCAAATAAACAGGCCTGAGGATTAGTGGAATAGATCAGAAGATACAAAAACAACTGCAGATGTACTCAGCTACCTCATTTTTGACAAATGAGCCAGCCATCCTCACTGGCGGCAAGATAGCCTCCTTAATAAATCGTGCGGAAAACTTGATTTCAACCTGCCAAAGATTAAAACTAGACCTTTATTTTTCACCATGCACTAACCTAAAATCAAAGTAGATTAAAGATGTAAATATTAAAAAAGAGCCACTAAATTTGCCAGAAGATAAGTTAGGCAGAATTCTTGACATTGCCATAGGAAAAGACTTTATGAACAAATTGTCAGGTGCACAGGAACTAGCAGAAAAAAATCAACAACTGGGTTCTCATCTTATTAAAAAGCTTCTGCAGTGCAAAATAAACCATAAACAGAACTAAAAAACCTACAATGTGGGAAAATATTTTACCAGTTGCTCCTCAGACAAATGAGTATTATCTAGAATATATAAAGAACTCAAAAATATCAGCCCCTCTCAAATATAAAGACCCAATTGAAAATGGGCATCTGAAATGAACAGATATGTCTGTTTCTGAATTTGCCTTGTGCTGCAGTGGCTCACAGGCCAGGACTCAAGGCAGAGGTCCTGATAACCTCCCCTTGCCCTTACCCTCCACCATGACTTTTGAAAATTTTAAATAATTATTGAAAACTGATTCTCAAATTTAAGAGTGGTGTATTAACTGGAATGACCTAATAGCTATATCTGCAGATATCAATTATAAGAGACCAGTTAAACCTTTAAAACAGATTTTTTTTACCCATTCTTGAAAATTGTATATAATAAAACATAAAAAAATCCTAAATCTTAAGCTACGCATGCTTGAGCATTAGCAAAACATAAATAAGAG